AAGGCCTATTAAGTGGTCAGCTTTTTTAAACCAAATAAGCGTTTTTTTATGCAAAGAAAGATGCAAGAAGTATTTTATGCATATAGAGAAGAAGTATTTTATGCATTTATATAAACTTAAACATATTTTTTAAATAAAATAAATGGTATTAATTTTTATCAATTTCAAAAATCAAATAATCAATAAGGAAATAAATAAATGAAATAAAAACAAATTAAAATTGCCGCAAACCCCCACTGTCTGATGCTGAAAAATGATAAAACTTTCATAATTTCGTCATTTTTTAACAGAATATTTCTATCTATCCATTGCAATAGAACCGCAAACGTCTCAATTTTTGATGAGCATTGCAGTATTTAAAAAAAATCTTTTGATTCTGAAAATATTATGAACTGAAATAGTGTAAATTTTTGATTTTGGGGGTTTGAAAATCAAACGAAAGTTTACCGGTTCGATTTTATTTTTTTTCAGTGCGTTTTGATTTTTCTAATAGGAAACCATCCACAAATTATTTAAGGGTTTTTGAATGATCATTAAATCCCCCTCCCGTCCTTGTAAGACTTTGTAAAATTTGCTGTTTGCAGCCCTTCCCCCGAAAGTCTTTCTAAGATTTTAAATGTTCAGAAGATCGTTAGATATCGATTTGGGTAAATTTTTACATGCATTTGCATATTTAATTTATTTGGAAGTGTTTTGGCATTAAATCGCTTAAGATAAAATTAGGATTTACACCTACTAAATTTTATGAATGAAAATGTCAACCCTCCTCTCCCCCCATTCCATTACTAAATTTGTGGATGATCCCAAATGTTGGAAAAGATATAAATAATCCAAGAAATTCTTTTTTTTCCAAAGATTTCATAGAAAATTAGCATGTAACAATACGCTTTCCATCATGTCGAAGAAAGTTGGGCTCCCAACAAAACCGAAAGGTTGATTTTCTGCGGCTTTGAGTCCATCTTTGTGCCATGATGTCTGAAAAAAAAATATAGTTACCCACCAATATTCTCTAAAAAAAAAATTAAAAACTTGAGCGGTTACAGATTCCAAAACGGTTGTTGGAGATCAGATGTGGGACTCGTATGACTCCCGGAAACAAGAAACAAAAATTCAACTCCAAATAAATATACCAGCTAGCTGCTGAGTATCATCAATTTCTGGTCAATACATAAATCCTTGCTTTTTTAACCCTTGGTCGATCATAATATTACTATCAAATAATTAGTAAATGGGATCGATATTTCAACGCTTACAGTTCATACTTCAAACCCTAAGGTTTTCAACTCCCAGTTTATTGAACGAGAATTAAAGCGATTTCAATACGTCGATTACGAAAACCGTTAGACTTTTTTTCATAATCATCTAGTCATCATTCACTGATCTTTTAAAAAATAGCTTATATAAAGCAAAGATTTCTATCGAAATTTTGACAAAATACAAATCAAAGCCTTCACTTGAACAGCATTACACCATAAGAAAATAGAGTCAACCAAAATGGAGAACTTAATATATTTAGTTCTTTAATATCCTGCACCGATCACAAATCAAAACGCCCTCTCATAACCATTAACAAGTGTAAAATTCTGAATTGATTTATTTTTTTAATCTTTGGAATATTTGTGAACATTTTCCATTATAGCTACATAATTTCGGCCGGTAGTGTACGGTTCGTCCAGATATAATCCAGCTCACTGAACTGTTGCAAACATGTTAAATAGTACGTTACAATAATGTAGCTATTTTTCAAGACATCATGAAAAGTTTACAACAAGTATTTTTTACGTTGCAGATGAGTGGATATTAAAATTAATTATTCATATTGAACTGCAACAACACCGCAACGATTTGTCAACATAACTGCACCATTACGTATTATCGATGGTATCCATGTTCCAGTTATGTGGAAATTAAGTAGCAAATGCGTAGTTTGAACAATCATAGAATTTGTTGAGTATGTGCGTGCTTTAAACGTCACTTGTCAGTAGCAATGTGATATCGAGTGGTAGCGGCATCGGTGCAGCTCCTCCGCCAGCAGTCATCAGGTTTCGGCATTATAAGCCGCTATTTGGTGCTGTTTCCAGTTCGCCAGCAGTTTTGGCAAATACGAGCTCCGTCTCTAACGGATCTTCAACGGCCACATCTCCGTTCGGCGGTATCAATATATTTGCTGCCCCCAACAACCAATCTATCGTCACCTCAGGCTTCTCACCGTTCTATTTAGCCCTTTGGAACACCCGCTTGGTTGAGAGACTACGGCCACGCCAGCCGCTGTTGGCATCGTCTTTAGTCACCATCGTCCCCCGCCACCCGTAATCCTATCGTCCTCGTCGTGGTTTCCATTTCTTATGCAGATGTTAGCACATGCATTACGATTTCTCCGCTTTTGCCAATGTTGTCCAAAAATATTTTACAACATCAAAGTGACAAGACATATTTGAGCCATGGTAGATACTAGATGGTTACAACAAACCTTTACAGTGACAACTTGATTCAGTTGGTTGCAAAACGAAGTTTGAAAACTTATAGATTCATACGCATAATTGGAACAAGATTGCAAATAGGTTCTTCAACACATCTTGGTTCGTCAACTTTTTAGTAACATTTCGAAACAGTTGCTCAATAGGTACAATTAACATATAGTTCACACTCTGTTGCACCAAAGTTTTAAGAAACATAATGTTTTATAGAACTCCCACAAGTTAGATTTGTTGCTCAAGTGTTTCATACAATATCACGTAGCATATAACTTCATACCAATTTGAGTGTAACATGTTTGCTCTTCCCATTTGAGGCATTATTTGACAGGTCATCTAAGCAGTACATTGAAACAATTGAGTTTCATTATTGTGACCTAAAGTAAATGAAGCAACAAAGTTGAAACTTTGTCGTATCAAGATGTATTCCCTGTACCATTTAAGGGATTTCTGGGTAACTTAAAAAGAAAAATAAAAGAATTGAGATGTTTTCTGTGTTGCTTGGGTAACAAACGAACATAATAGTTTAAAATGTTTAAAATAAAAAACTGTTTTTATTTTGAAAAAAATTACGTTGTGAGCACTTTCCGGCAGGTGTTTCCAATTATTTTATATTTTGAAATTGTAAAATAGAACATATTTGCAGTCCTTTGGCGAACGTTTCAGCTCAATTGATTAAAAGTCAACAAAGTTACATCATGTCAAAGTTGATCATTTTGTATGAAAATCGACAAGCGCTGCTATTTTATCAAACACAGCTATACATTTTTCAAAAACTTTTTATGGAAAATTGGAAAAGCATTTATTTCAGCAGATTCGTAAAATTATTTCCTATCGATTGGTATATTAGGATTGTAATTTGATCTATCAGTGGCAAAGTAAGAATTGTTTAAAACCTAACACCTTTTCGTGATGGTCACAATTTTCGATTTACCCCCTGTAACTTTCAGTAAGATGTAGTCTACGTCAAAAAGTCCCATTGTGCAATGCACGTAAACATAATTCAGCGTGGAAACAAGAATCACTATGAACTCATCCACAGTCACTTAAAAGTCAAATTTTCTCGGTTCAGCGGTCACCGACTGGATTCGAAGTAAAGATAAAAGGACCGAAATAAGGACAGCACGCACAAGCTGCTGCTCGTTTCTGATGTCGAATGCATGTGAGCGATTTTTACCAGGCCTGATTAGACATCCATGATGTAGCCGCCATGTACCTACTCAATACTGTGCAAACCTTGGCAAACGAATAGTTGATGGACGACAACTTTTCAACTATTTCTACATCAGCCTTCCCGTGATTGGCACCGGTAGTGAATTCAATTAACTTGGTGAATAAATATTTTCACTTTCAATCATTCCAAATACTGCTACTCTGCTCCTGCTACTGGGCAGCGAGTTTCGACGAAAGCACCACCACCACCACCACCATCATCACCACCTTCGTCATCGGTCGCAGCAAACTCACTTACCTTCACCGGAGCGTTTCATTCCACCTAAAAGCCCTCTCTCCGGAGACGTTGATGGGGGTAAAATTACAGAAAACATAAATAAAAGTTATTTACATTATTAAAATTTCCTTTCAATAGCTTGTCGTAAGAGCTAAGTATCAGGCACTCACCGTAGATTGTGTGCTAGCGCAGGAATTGTGGGGTTCGGGGAAAAGAGGTAGGCAGCTTAACCCAGTTCCCCGCACTCGCCTTGGCTGTTTGCTCCTGGCATAAAGCTTACTGTGTAATTTCCAGCCAAGTGCGCTATCGATGGCTTCTGATCGGGCACCTATTTCCATTGAAAAAGGAGGATGGCGATGATGATGATGATGATGATGATGATGATTATTATTATGATGAAAATTGTGAATAACGAACGATAACCATCGCCCTCTCACCCACTGCAGACCGCTCGCACTATGTTCCCACTTGAAATTTAGCCCGACGGAATAAAAATTTCCTCTGCACATTTCCATCAGCGAACGAACAAGCGAGCAATACCTTTTGAATGAGGTCCTTGACTGCACTTTTCCCCGGCGTGTGCGCGAGCTAACTCTGCCATACACACACCCACAGTCATAGTAAATATTACTCCCTTTTCGAGAGCGTTTTTCATTTATAGCCCCAGTTGATAAACCGAGCCCCACCCCCCCTCCACCAGCGCCACTTGACTTGCAACCTCCGGATCGAGGGAAACGATGCGATTTCCGTTCGATTCTCCGATATTGAAAGGCCAAATTGAATTTCTGGGCTGGCTCAAAAGAGTGCAGCTAGCCTTTTGTGGTCTGACTCCGGGGCAGGAACGAGTTTGCCCTTTAGACAGGTGAATTGAATTAGTTTTCCAGAATAATGATTCGATGAATACTTTATATGGATGATGGAGAGAGAGAGAGAGAGCCAAAAATGCTGAAAGGCTTGTGCGGTCGTCCTTCAAAGAAGAGGTGCACTTTGATGAGATATTGAATTGGGCAGGAGGAGTGCTCTTATTACGAAAATTGAAATGGATTTTTATTTTCTTTTTCTCATTTTTTTTTCAGTTTATTGGAACGCAGATTTTCCTCTTCGTGGCCACCATCGTCGGATCGGCCATCATCCTGGACTTTTCCACCATGGACTCGAGCATCCAGCCGCTGATCCGGCAGACCATGCTGCGCTTCATCATGACATCGGAGCATCCCCACTCGTCGGCCGCCCTGAAGCTGATCCAAGAAAGCGTAAGTTGGATTCTTTTATTCAGTAAGCAGTGAAAATTGGCAACAAAGTTCAATACTTATCTAAGGATCAAAATGTGAGATAGAAAAAGAACGCTTCGTTGACTAATTTTTTCAAGCCAACCCGTTCGAGTTGCATGTTCTTTTCGACGAAAACCTCTCAACCGGATCCAGTGGAGCATTTTCCGAACGATATAGTTCCAGCCCTGCCCCGCCGCCAGTTCAAATGAGAGCTCAAACCGGTCAACCTGTGCTGACCAGCCGCTGCCTTCCTCGACACGGACCAAAACACAACCGAAGACAACCAGAACAGAAATGACCACCGACGACAACGACGACGACGACGCCGAGGACGCTGCTTATCAGGGAGGATTTCTGCCTGAAATGAAATCGCTTGTTGTTTGGACATTATTATATTTCTTGCTGGCCTTTCCTGTTTCTGAAACTCGTTGGACCCCCAGCTGCGGTCAAGAAGCCAGTGAGGGAAAGAAAATGTGGCCCGGTCAGTTGACCGTAAGTAATTTGCGGGTGGACTGAAAAGGACGATACTTCAATCGATGGGAAAACTGTTGATTCAACGGTAATTTCCGTTTCGTTTGAAAATTGTTTGAATTATGGCATCGAATGGCTCTGTTCGGGCGGGTGGGTGACTGTGTGATTAGCACCGACTCAGTAGAAAAGAAAATGCCAACCTATTGTCTGCCTTTGTTTGGGCCAAATTCAATTATCTGAAAATGTATTTATTTCATGAGCCCATCACGTCTTCAAACCCACCTTCACCCTTCACTTTCAAGGGGCAGCTTCAGCTATTGGCTCAATAGCTCAGGATTGCCTAAGACTGCCGAAGCTGGTTTTATCGGCCCGTTTCGGTTGAATTGAGCTCCGGTTCGACTCGGACTGGAGTGTGGGTGTCTGCATGTGGACAAAGTCAACAGGAAAGGTCCTTCTCGGAACCTGAAAAGAGCTGATGATGATGAAATGAGGCTCGGGCTCTTCTTCGGTTGTTTGTCTGTTCAGGTTTTTCACAAAAGCAGACCAATTCGGGTCCGGGGAGGTGGTTTCGCTCTGACTAGTGTACACTTCTGTTGGAAAGTAATCGTCGGATTTGGAAATAATCCTAGGATGGGGGACTCTGCCTTCCGCATTTATTCGAACAACGGCAGAATGATATGAGCTTATGAATGATGGGAGTTGTTTGTGCGCACATTGTTCTACGGACAATGACTCTGTTCTATTTACTTATAATGCAACACATGTGGGGATTTTTTTATTTATCGAGAAAAATGTGCTGAAGAGTCTTAGAATTTTATTAAATTTTGCCCACAGGAAGAGTTTATGGTTAAATGAGCGAAAAAAAAACAAATCAAAACATTTCAGGGTGGTTAATTTTCCCGGAAAATTTAGTTGAAGTTTTCTGATTTTCCCAGGCATCACGTACTTTGAAAATTTATAACTTATTAATCAAGCATTGTAGAAAGAACGTGGTTTGGAAAAATAATTAGGAAATTATCTAAGCAATCCAGAAATCATATAATCTGACAAATGTTTTCCTTGAAAAATCGGGTAAAGGAAAATTGGAAGGACAAGCAGCAACCAAGTAGCACACATCTGTCACACAAAGTTTCAGCAACTTGATTCTGACTAAAATGAGTCCTAAAGCAGTTACCTCAACCGGCTTGTGTCCAGTGTAGCAATGGGCGATCTTGGATCGAAACACAAAAGATCGATTCTTTTGGATCGATTAATCGATTTTTTGAATCGATCTCAAACACGACAAAAATCGACAGGATCGATCCTTTTCATTCGATTTTTGTTTCGATCCACCAGAAAAAAAAATTCAGTGCATTTGCATTTGCAATTTAATATTGACCTTACCTGGAGTCTTCAGCTCACGTTCGGGCAGTTAAAATTGTGTCTGAGCAGATCTACCGTACCGAAAGAGTATACGATTTCAGATGCTATGTCAGAACTGGATTACTATGGGGCATATCGGCAGAATTACAAAATTTCTTGCATCAGCCTGTTTTCCCACGTTCTGTCGATCCTTTTCGAGCATGGGAGAAAATCCGTAGTGTATATCCCCATGTATACCTCATTGCTCGAGACTATTTATCAAGAATGGTAACAAGTGTTCCGTCAGAGAGGCTATTCTTCAAAACTGGTGAAACCACTCAGGATCGATATCGGCTGAATGCAAAACGCAGGACTCAATTAGCTTTCATGGGACCCTCTCGGATGAGTTTTGGGATATCTGAATTAAGTACTTTCCGTACTTACCTGCTTTTTACACTCCCACAATCTAATCGTTTTGTTTCATGTGTGAATCTTTCGTTTTTTAAATCGTTCATTTATTACAAATAAAACCTGTAAAATCACTTACCTAATCAAGTATCCTGAGCAACATGTCAAATGAAATCAAAATAGTCATTTACTATATTCTCACGTAGACCATCCGGTAAATATTCGATCCACGGTACATGGTAAAGACCGTAAAGCATGGAGGTGGTAGCATCATGGTTTGGGGCTATTTTTCTTGGTATGGAGTAGGTCCCATTTTCCGTATTAATTCCATCATGGCCAGATTTGAACACAAAGGAATCATGGAGGAGGTTATGCTCCCTTATGCAGAAGAGAACATTATGCCTCTTATATGACATTTTCAGCAAGACAACGATCCAAAACACTCTTATGAGTATGTAAAGGAATGGTTTCGTGCAAACAAAGTTTCGGTTATTTCACGGCCTAGTCAATCTCCTGACATCAACCCCATCGAAAATTTATGGAACGAGCTTAAAAGAAAGTTATCTGGTCAAACATTTTCCAATAAGGATCAACTATGGACCACAGTTCAATAAGATTGGTATGATATACCAAAGGAAACTTGTCAATGCTTAATTGATTCAATGCCAAGTAGATTGAACAAGGTTCAACTTAACAATGGAGGGCACAGCGGTTACTAAGCGTCATTAGTCTAATAAAACTTATGCGATTATTTTCAAGCTTTCTATACTATAGTATTATTCACTGACCAGGCATATTTTATATTTGATTCTAATGAGTGAGTCATGTAATGTTTTAACTTTGAGTTTTCTCGTGCAATTACTTAATTTTTATTGCACTATCAAATGCTTAACTTTAAAGTCGAATAAAATGAAGTTCAATGAACACAACCTAAAATTTTGCATTTATTTTACCTGTACCTATTTTAATGATCAGCAGTGATGTATGTGACACTCACAACCTTTACTGCATACTACACAATTTATTTCTAAATAATAACAATCGTCACACTAAACGACTATTATAGGTGAAATGTCATAACAATATAGCTTATGTAACGTAATATCAACTCTAGACTGAACTTGGCTTAATTTGCACCAACATTCCTATGATCCGTTATATTTGAAACATTGCTGTGCCATTTTGAAAAATTAATTGATTCAAAAGATCGATTCAAAATGATTGATCAAATCGGTGAATCGTTATTTTCAAAAAAAAAATCGATTTACTAAGATCGATTCTTGCCTCAACATCGCCCAATACTAGTCCAGTGTGCTACTAGGGATGCCAATGTTTCTAAAAAAATTTGCTCATGCTTGAAAATATCTTATTTTTCACTGATGAAAATTTCAGAGTAGTGTCTCTTACCGTTTTTGAGATGTGATTGAAAAACTGGGCGCAGGAAAATCGATCTACATTCGCTCCTATTATAAAAGATTCTCTCCAAAAGAGCAGTTCCTCGCCAAATAGTGAAAAAATAAACAACTTTTAGATTTAACACATCAGAATTCCATGAAACTTCGCATAATTGTTCGCTTATTAAAATTTTTAACTAATCTAATAATAATATTTATAAATATATACGATCCATTAAAAATTTTTTACTTGCTTAAACAATTAAGAAAGAGGTGTAATTTTCATGATTATCCAAGGGTATATCAAACCTTCACTACGTCTTTGCATCCATATCATTTTTATTTTTTGTTCAAATGGTAGTCCATATTTTTTTTTTATGTAGAACTACGTCTTTATAAAATATACGGGTATGCAAATCAAAAATAAGTTGTGACGAAATATTGTCAGATTTTAAACACTTATAACTTGGGCGTTTATTGAATGCATCTCAAATCTCATTACATCATTAGATTCCAATTTGATGTAAGATTTATTTGATATAAAGATTTTAAAAGATTATCATTAGTAATCTATTAAAAATTAATCAATCTTTCGGTTGTAATCCACCAATCACGAGCTTGCTTGCTTGCTTGACTCGATATAACAAAGAGTCAGAGAGAGACGTGCCGTTGGCGAGGTTATGCAACAGCGTACGATCCAAAATCGATCCAAAATCGACATTACAGCAAATAGATGGTTTCGGTTTTCGGTAAATTTGTTCAGATGGAAAAGAGAGTAACTGAAAACTGTATAAGAGTTAACTCGTAAACAGAGTAAAAGTTTAAAAAATTTAAATTTTTATTTCCAGGGATTTTACTGATATTCGAGCCAATTTTTTGAGGATAATCGAGCAAAACTTAAATTAATGAATAAGTGGCGCAGGTGGTGTAGTGGTAAGCGTAATTACCTCTCACCTCAGCAGGCCTGGGTTCAATCCCAGTTGGCACCACCGTGATGTTCTGAGGCATAACATCTCTGATCTGAAGGGAAGTGAAGCCGTTGGTCCCCGGTTCATGAGTTGATGGGTCGATAGGAAGGGTCCAGGTGTGGGAGCTGCCTCTATCGCGTTGGTAGCATTGGTGCTCAGCACGGAAACAAGTCAGGGAAAAATACTGAATAACTCTATTTTTTGCAATTTTGAGTAAATTTTATTAATTTTGAGTCAATTGAGGATTCCTTCACCAGGCGTATGTAACTTGACATTTCAACTAGATAGAATGTTGCGGTTATCACCTCAGCTCAAAACTTTTCCTCCAGGTGGCACTGATGTGCCAGATATTCTGAAATTACTTGCTTAACTTGGCATCTTGGAGCGTTACTGTCTTCAG